CCCCCCCCCCCCCCCCCCCCAACAAAACAAATTTATTTGCATAAAAACTTTCCTTAAAAAATGTAAGATATCAAACCAATTTATTAGCATAAAATAGTGTAATGTATTGTCCTATGGAAATCCAACTTGCAAGAACTGACGTTTGCAAATTGCAAGGGGGTTTAAAGTTCCAACTGGACTTTTTTACTATTTAGTGTTAATGGAAACAAGCAATATTGCAAGAAAACAAATAGTAAAATAAACAAATTAAATAATGCAGTTGCTAGCGGCCTAGATCGATGCACAGAAATACACATGAAATTGTCAAAAAAAAGTATCTATCAATCAGAGTAATAGCAACGTTATAGCCATCGACCTTGAATTTTGATATGATAAAAAGTGGAAACAATCGTAGTGAAAGAGGAGTTAATTAATTAAAAAACCATGAGAAGGCTTGAGGAAGACAACAATGATGTCTTTGCCCATTGAAAAGTAGCCAACTGCTCAAATTCACATGCATTTCCATTTTAAAGGTTCAATAATTTTTTGTAGGTAACATTCAACTATAATCCACTAGGACAAGTTAACTAGAAAGTTAGAAGTCTAAAATCTAAAAATAGCATATGATATTTTTATTAATTCCACTTTCAAATCAGGCTTTGCCGACAAAAAATTTCTTTTTCCCAAAAACGTTCTATAACCTAATATCTCTTATTTCCAATATGTGATCAAACTTCACAGTCTTCACTCACACAGAATGATTAAAAATGAGTGGTGATAACTGTATTACAAAACTCATACTACTTTTATGTCCCCATAAATAAAAACTTGGGTCCGTCATGACTCATACTTTTTCTTGACAATTTTGGAAAGAACCCCCACATTTGTTAGTATAGTACGAGAATAGTATGGAACTTGCAGTGCAATTATTGTTTTCCTTAAAAAAGAGAAGATGATTAATTAGTGATATTTGTCTCAATATTAAAACAAGATAGATTCTAGGAGATATCAGATTGAAAACTAATATGTGATCTTTGTTACAATCTAGAAAAGGATTTATAATTATTATCATTTTTTAAGGAAGAAGTTATTAGTCTTTTTCCTTGGGTTAAAAAGGACAAAGACTTTTGTGTCTACCCCTTGAGCTTTGATTTGAACGTCACATGAAAAAACTATGAGCCCATAATGACACCGAGAGCTACGTCCTTTGTTACAAAATGTACCTATCCGTATAAACAACCACTTGGGTGACGTCAAATATAAGAACAATCAACAAAAATTGCCAACCGTAGCTCAACCTCTCATTGAATAAACCTTGTGCTCATCGTTATTCTATTGATCTCCAAGTCTCATACTCTTACAAACCTTGGTCATATTGATTAAATAAATCCCAATACCCACTCGGTGTTGGAGCAATATGACTTGATAACAAATTACCGGGACTAATCAAGAAGCTATTGTCCGCATAGTTCTTGTGATTACCACTGAAAATACCCGGGCTCAAATCAGGCAAGAAGCTAAGTGAATTACTTATATCAACCGCCGGTGGTGAGAAAAAGTTCGGAGATATGGCCGGCAGTGAGGCCGGGACCGGCGACAAGATCCCAGCATGATTGAAAGAAGTTGCGACATCACCAAACCCCAATGGATTCAATACATCGTTGTCACGCTTGGCTAAAGGCAAAGGCTTCTCAATTGTGGCCAATTTCCGCACGGTCTCTGATGCGACCGATGTGGAGGTGGAGCTAGAGGCGGCGCCGGTGAGGCGTTGGACTAGAGACATGAAGTCGCTAGGGTTGGTGTGGATGACTTTCGGAGAGACGGTGTAGATTATCACCGGAGGACGGTGTTGAGGGGGATGAGGTGGCTTCTTGAACTTATCAAAGTCTTTTCGGACTTTGAGAGGTGTTGGTCGGGGCCCTTGGACCTCGCGTCGTGCAGGTGATCGTCCACCGGAGCCCGTCGGATGCTCGGAGCAGTCCATGATAAGTAAGAAAAAAAGACTAGCCCTGTGTAATAAGCTCCTGCTACATGCGGAATCCGAAAAGAATGATACAACTTTATGCCTTGCAGGGGGTGGCGGGCGTGGAGTAGGGTATGAGCTTTGGTTGTGAAATGGCTAGAGATATGGCGAGGCAAGGTGGAATGTTGGATATTGCTCAGTAGAATATATAACACCCAAGTCAAAAGGGTTTCTTAAAGAGGGGCACACGAGGAAGGAAAGAAAGGAGAAAGTGGATGAAATCTTGTGAAGGATGCTGTATTTGAATTTGTCTATTGTAGAGGGAAGAGAAAATATTAGTGAAGGGGGTTAGGATGGAAAATTTTGATATTGGTGGCTAATGATGTCATGATAATTACGTTTCGGAGAAAATAGTTAACTGGGATTCGATTAATAGGATGGTTAATTTTTTGGGATTGCCAAGTCAAAAGAACTAAACTATAAGAATATGTAGGATCTAAAAGTAGTGATTAATATAACGCACTTTAGCTATATAATATATATATATATATATATATATATATATATAATATATATATATATATATAGAGTAAAACTTGTGTCAACTTAAGTGGACGTCACAAAGTTTCTTACCATTGATGATCACTTGATTGAGCTGCTTTGTGGATGATCGCGCTCCGTTAAACTTGATCTATATTCTAAAACCCCAACACACCAAATTTGGGTTGAATCCGTCATGGTTTGACCTTCATCCACTCGTATCAATTTTATGGTTTCAAATGAATAGAACTTTTTTACAGTGGCTCGACGGAGGTCAAACCATGACGGATTCAACCCAAATTTGATGTGTTGGGGTTTAGAATATGTAGATCAAGTTCAACGGAGCGGATCATCCACAAAGCAGCTCAATCAAGTGATCATCAATGGGTAAGAAACTTAGTGACGTCCACATTAAGTTGACACAAGTTTACTCTATATATATATATATATATTATATATATATATATATATATATATATAGAGAGAGAGAGAGAGAGAGAGGAATATGGTACGTTTTGGTACAGCAGCACAAAAAGATGTTCTTGGTAGTGAGGTGGCATAATCCCATCCACTTCATTCAAATGGTTGTATATCCCATGCACTCCTCAACCCTATGTGAATTGATCCCCTATTTGAATGAGTGCAGGTGATTGTACCCCTCACTAACAAGGCACAAAATTATGTTTGGTACCAAGCATACACATATTTCTCTCTCTTCTCTCTCTCAATATATATATATATATAATATATATATATATATATATATATATATATAGGTGAAAATTGTGTCAACTTAAGTGGATAGGGCAATAGTGTGTCCACAAAGGTTTTTAACCACTTATATTGCCTAGGGATCCTTGTATTATATAAAAAGGTATTTTATATTAATAATAGTGTGGCTACAAACTTTGGTGGACATCACTTAAGTTGATAGGAGTCTTGCTATATATATATATATATATATATAATATATATATATATATATATATCTATATATATATATATATATATATATATATATATATATATATATATATTATATATATATATTATATATATTATTATATATATATAATATATATATATATTATATATATATATATATATATATATAATATATATACTATTGATTGACATTATGTGATGTTGAGCTGCAAAATGCTTATCGTGAGCTAGACTAACCGGTTCATCAAATTCATGATCAACCCAATAGATTTTGTTCAAAATATCATCAAATATATGTGGTGAAATTTTCTATAATATGAATTGTTGATGTTCAAATCACACAGAATAATCCAGAATAAGATGGTTGTGGAGTAATGAAAGATGATGGGGGGACCGCTTCCTTCCCCGACTTTATATCTTGGCCACAGAGTTTAAAGTGAACGATCTGCACAGAAGAAGGTCGTGAAAGGGTGGGGTGGTGATTCCCCCGTGGTACCTCCGACGATCAAGTCAGTTGATGAACTTGAACTTGAGTGAAGTAATAAAACTATGTGTTCTTATGCTATATGCATTAGAGATGATGATCTCTGAGATTTAGATCAGGAGGAGAGTTTTGATTGCGAACCTTTGGTTATGGCGAATAACATCTGCATATAAAGAGGATGTCAATGGCAAATTGGTCATTTCGGCCATGCAAATGGCGGTGATAAAGTGTGAGCTGGAAGGTGAGTCATCTTTGCTCTACATGTGTTGGCTAGCGACAGTAGGAAGATCACTTCGGCCTCGATTTGAGGAGCGATCGATGGGATGTGGGCTGGTAAGCGGCTTGATGATGCGTGGTCTTTGAGTAAACATGATATGAATTGTTGTTAGGATGGATAAGCTTTGACGAAGTTATCTTCTAGCTTCACTGAGAAGCAATGTCCCTCATGATGGGACTCGCGAGGAGAGTCGACTCGTTGAGAGGAGTGATGACTCAAGGATTGCTGGCCGAATGGAGTCGGGTGACGACTCGTCTCGCCTTTCGAGTCGACATGGAGGAGTATCGACTCGACTGGGTCGACTAGGCTCTTGACGAGTTGCCTGCTGCGAGAGGGCCGACTGGTACCGCCTTTCGTGTCGACATTGATGAATGTCGGTTCGTCTGGTCGATCGGCTGAGTCGGACTACTAGCTGATCTCTGACTATCTTTCCCGTCGGTCGAGATGTCGACTCGTCTGGGAGGTCAAGATGTCTCGTGCCGATTAGCACCGTTCCTCGTGTTGACACTAGGGTGTCGGCTTGTCTGGCTGGATGGAGATGGCGACTCATCACATTATATGTATGGAAACAGTTGTACCCCATAACAAAGTAGTTTAATATCTAATTTTTCAGCCAGCCTAAGAGCCGTCCATTTTGCACATAGCTAAAATAATGATTAAAATATTCTAAACAATATAATTTTTTTTATATATGGAACATATTGATTGCAAATCAAGATGGACAGTATCGATCATCATATCCAATAGCCAATTGAGCTAGCTCATAATAAAAATCTTATCTCACCATCTCATTTTATCATTTTTCTCATACACACACATATTCTATTGTGATTTAGAATTGACCATTTTTTTACGTTTTTTTTTCTCTACGAGGAGAAGGAGGAGGAGTATTGATTATATATGGCAAACCAAGTATAAGTTTAGTACTTAAATCTAGGCTTTTATGCATATGTACCCTCAAATCATCTTATTTGCAAAATTGGCCCCTAAAGTTTTTGTTAATTTAACCCCAAACCCCTTTTGGGCCCCCTCAATCTAGATAACAACAAAGGGGAAGGCCCAGACAGGTAATAATGCTTTTATTATGGTCAATAGTAATTGGGTCAAGTCAGCATTTGACGAGGTCATTGATCAGAAAGAAACCATTATTATTTCAAGGGCTTTTTAGATATGAGTCCCTCAGTTATTTTGATATCAGTCTTCCAAATCTTTATTTTTGATATTAGTCTCCCAAATTATTTTAATATGTTGATATCAGTCATTTTGTTAGATACCATTCAAACTCTACACCATGATTGAGTTAACATTAACCATCAAGGGGGGAATTACCTTACTACTGTTGAGAAATAACCAAGTATTTTAGTCCTAGCAGACATCAGAAGAGTCAGAAACGAAGTAGAACACGAAACGAGTAAAATGAAGCAAAATGGCATGCGGCGACGGTGGGATCGGCAAGTCCGACTGGTAGGATCCCCTGCCGATTTACTGGTCGATCTGACTGGTTACAGGCTTGGTTCAGAGATGTTTCCTTTATTACCTGTTTTGAAATTATATTTGGGTTAAGATTACTATTGAGTTATGTATCCGATTTTAGGGCCTATAAAAGAGGTCTTTCATATCTAAGGTTTTGTTTGAGAAGTCAAGTAAATATGCATATTGTAAAAGAGAGGTCAATTGAATTAAGGAGAGAAATAGATTTTGAAAAAGGATTTCTTGTGAAATATTTGAAGATCACAAAAAAGATCGTATCTTTGTAATCTCCGATATAAAAAAGACTCAAATCTCTTCCCGTGGACATAGGCGGTTGCCGAACCACATGAATCATATGTCTTTTGTGCTGCTATTTTATTTTCAGTAGTATAGTGCTCTTTCTCTTTGAACACAATTTTTTTAAGTGTTTTCACATTGCCCGGTGACCGATTGGTCTATGAAGGAGGAGATCTAACCGCTTGTTCAGCGATGCTTCCACAAACTATGCTTCAATATTGAATGTTGGTTAGTGTGTGTCTATCGATTGCAAGTGGAGTGCGCCCACAATTACCCCTCCATCTCTCTCTCACATCCTGTTCCATTGCCTCCATCTCCTCCACCATTGTTCCCTCCGTCGATGTCCTCGCTTCTTCCTCCATTACCGCCATGACCATTTCCACCAGCGAGTGCATTCTCACCGCCTCCATCTCTACCACCACCACACACCGATAATGTTACCACCGCCACCTTCTCTGTCACCACTCTCTCCCATATATTTTTTGACTTGTGAAGACATTCGAGCAGACCCAGTGAAGAAGGGAGAGGTCAAAGAGGGGGCGATAAATTGATGGTTGGATACGGATCAAGTAGTTTAAAATTTAAGATGGCCTAGCCGCATTATGCGCTGATCCGTTTGTTTTTCCTTTCCTTTTCTTTTCTTTTCTTTTCTTTTCTTTTCTTTTTGTGTGTGTGAGAGATAATTGATCCGATACATCCTGATCGAGGAGCATTCTCAATCTAGAAACTTGATTAGAGTTGGTAAACAAACAACTGAAATAGGACACAAACAAAGGTCATAATTTAAGGCAAGGCCGCTTTCTCACTATTTGTTTTCCACATTTTGACTTTTCTTTCGTACTATAGAATCAGGGCAAGCTTGACTAAATCCTTTGTTATATCCATAAATTTAAATACTATATATTAAAAATTATCAAATTTTGTTTTGTCATTTGTCCCATCCACTTAGATTATTATCTATGAATATATTTTAGAAACTAACATGAACTTATTGTTTTGTAGAAAAATAATTTAAACTGTTTTCAATTTGAGAGAATATTATAAGATTTTAAATTGACAAAAACCCCTTCAGAAAGTTAATAATACACATGAGAAAATATTGTAGAGAGCGTCCTGTAAAAATAACCGCAAAATGTAAGAATAAAAAAGAAAAAGAATTCAAAAAACCT